GATTTTTGGCATCTGCCTGACCAATCCCAGTGGCTGCCTGGTGGGGTCTGGGTCACTGGGCTCTGCTGGGTCCCCAGCGGGGGTGGTCGCCCCTGGGTCCCGGGTCGCTGGGTCCCGGGCTTGGCTGGCTAGGGGGTGGGAGGCTGCGGGCGGGCCTGCTGGCTTGCCGCCGATATCTCCCGGACTCTGCAGGCTGCTGGTTGTGGCCTCCCGGGGCGATCCTCTGTGCCTCTCAAGGGGAGCGGGGGCTTTTCTGGTCGCAGTCTCCCTGGGGTTCCTGTGCTCTGGGGCAGCTCCTGGATCTCTGGGACTTGGAGCTCCCTCTGTCTCCTGCACATCTTTACGGGGCAGATCTGTGGGCCCTCACACACTCTATTGGACGCTCCTATAGAGAAAACTTACATAAACAAGCGCGTGTACACACACAGGTGCTCACATGGTGCTCTCATAAGTATGGACTTGGGCACGTTCAACACAGGTCTTAAGGCTATGGTGGGCACTTAATGCACTGTGATGTATTACCGTGTGATTGTTCAGTTAAACAATGTTGATTATATATTTCTTCATCAAGTTGACGCAGTGATAGCTTGCTCTTGTATTGATGTTGTGTCCCATTTTTTGTTTGTTTTTTGCTTTTTTTCTTCTCTCTTTCTGCAGGTCTAGAAGCAGACTCTTGTTCATTATTGTTTATTTTTGTGGGAACCCACAATGTATTCTTTCTTTATGCTTGTTAAACAGTTTTTTTACCATGATTTATGATCAACATTATTTTAATATCTATATAACTTTATATTACAATTATCATTTTAGCTCTTTGGATTGTATATTTTAACCTTAATTTAACCTTTTTCCAGTGCTTCCTCTGTGGCAGCCCTCTGCCCCGGCGGCGGTGGTCGGCTGTGGTGGCCTGGGTGCTTTCCATGTGTGCCTGGGTGGTGGTGGGGGTCTCTGCCCTCCCTGCCCTGGGCGCCCGGTGTCAGTGCTTCAGCTGCTGCTGTGGATCTGTTGCTGTCGGGGCGGACGGCTCCCCTGATGGCGTTTCCTTGTCCTAATCTTAGCTGGTCTGGCTCATCTGATCTCAAGTATGCATGTGTGTGTGCGTGTGTTTGTGTGTGCCAGAGGATGTGTTGTGAAGGGTTTTTTATTGTCAGACTGTTTTTAAAATTCTGGGGATGAGAGGGAATGTGGGTATGCGGGGCCTTTTTAATTTGTTAAGCACTTTGAGTTGCATGTATTGTAGGATTAAGTGCTATATAAATAAAGTTGATTGATTGATTTGATTTGATATTTCTGACCAGCCCATTGTTTCTTTGACTGTTTCACGTCTCATTTTGTTCTTTTCAACCCTACACGGAGCAAATGGCACTTTTTTGTCTTGTGTTGGTTCTGCGGAACAGCTGCAGGTGTGGCTTTATGTTTTTGTCATGTGCCTGGTTAGATTTCTGGTTATCGTTTAGCTTCCTTAGCAGAGTGAGCAGAGCTTTGGGTGGAGTTGAGTTCAAAGACTTCCAGGGAGGCCTTTATCTTGGGTCACAGATAACTTTCACACCACAGGCAAGCCTCTCCTCCAAGAGTGGGAGTGAAGGTCACGTTAGCTTTCTGAACTTCAGAGCAGTTTCAAAGTGGGAAAGCAAAATCTTCTGTTGTTCCAAACTCGTCTTTACGCATGGTCAGACTGATATTCTCCAACCAGTTCAGGGTAACATGTTAACTTTAAGATCCGCCGCAAATATGGACTCTCCCATCAACGTTTGTGATGGTTTATGCTCAGATGGCATCCAGCATGTCCAGATGATACCTCATCCCAAGAGAGTGGGAAGCAGGAGATGAGCACACCAACGGCTGTCTGATCGGCACAACTGAATGGAATTTGTTTAGTCAGCAGTTTCCTTTTGAAAATGGCCCGGGAGTGTTGTTGTACGGGTGTTCACTCAGGGGAGAGAGGATTTGGGGGGATAGGTTTAGTTATTTATTAGCTGGAGCCTTTTAAATGGGAAACCTTCCATGACAGAGTTGGGTGGAAATAGGAACTGGCGGGCCATGCCATCTGGAAATGCTGGGGGTGGCATCCTGCCAGACTCGTATCTAAACTTACGGCCAGAGTGGGGACAGTCCGGACGCTGAGACGGTGAGAGCAGAGATAAACTCCCACTGTGCTGTGATCTGGCGGGCAATGAACTTTATCAAGATGATCAGATATGTTAGTGGCTGGCTCAGCTTTGGGCCTCCTCGCTGAGTCCGATGTGTTTGTTAGGTGCGAGGCAGACAGACATCCTTCTGTCTGTTTATGAGATATTGACCTGGTTGTTCAGCATTGCAATCAAAGAATATGGTGACAGGAATTAGCACTCACCAGCGCTGATTTATTAAAGTCATATGTACTTCTGCAGAATTACTTGCCTTCATTGTAATTTAGTTACTGCCTGGTGCCTAAAGTAGGTGATAAAGACTTATTCTGTGTGTGTGTGTGTGCGCGCGTGCGTGCGTGCATGCGTGTGTGTCTGTGTGCGCACGCGTGCATGTGGCTTTAGATGGATTTTAAGGACCTATCAGAAAGTAATCATTGTATATCTGTGATTGGAACCCATTAGGGGTCTACCAAGTTCAAGGTGGCCACTACAGCTTATCAATATTATTAAACACAAAAGTTTTTATAATTGAATTAATTTTACAGATATTAAGCTAAACCTTGGTGTGTTAGTCAATCTGAGTGATTCTTATCTCCCACACACTACCTGATCATGTGAGATGTTTACTTAAAACTTCTTCTGCTGGCGTTGACTTTGTATGTAAGCTGAAAAAGTGTGTGTGTGTATATATATATATATATATATATATATATATATATATATATTAGGAATGTAAGAAAATATCGATATAGCAATATATTGCGATATTTTTTCCTGCGATATTATATCGATGTTCAAAAGTTGTGTATCGATTTTTTGGAAGAATTTATGTGCAAACATTTGTGTATTTTCTTTTCTTTTGGTGCAAATCAAATGCCGTCCGCTAGTCAGCAGTAGGGTGCAATGGAGTTTGTTTCAATTCAATTCAATTCAAGTTTATTTATATAGCGCCAAATCCACCACTGAAATGTAAATCCCTCTATTATGGTTCAGATACCTCATGTTAATCATGTTAAGTATCAGTTTGGACCATTTATTGAATTTTCCTACAATAATTTTAGTCTAAAAAAATCGCTATAATTGTCCGACTGAATGTATCGCAATATATCGTGATACATCGTATCGTCTCCCCTGTATCGTGATAATCAATCAATCAATCAAACTTTATTTCAGACAAGGGATATGTCCATAACAAGAATAAAATAAAAAAATAAAAAATAAAAATAAAATACAAACACATTCTAATTACAAACCGTATAGGCAGTTGTTCCAATGTTTAAAAAGGACTGAGAAGTACCTCGTGTCACTGTAAGATAAAGATGACAGCGCTCTAACAACCGCATTAGCTGACAAACTCAGTCGGCAGATGAATTTGTAAATGAAGAGCCTCAGAAGTGCATGAAAAGTAGGGATGTTACTCACAACAAATATGTGACTTGCCGAAGTCCATCTCGGGAGCTTCATGAGGATTCTAAAAGCATCCTGATAAGCCACTTGAAGCTTCTTCATTACTACCTTACTATAGTTGCACCACAAGTGGGCTGTATAGAGAGGAGTACAAAAGGAACGAAAGAGGGACACTTTAACAGGATCTGAGCACATGCCAAAGTTACGTGCCAGAGTGTTAGCCTGCATGTACAGCTTACCGCATTGCCTCTTAATGTCCTCGTCATCACAGAGGTCACTTCTTAAAATGTGCCCCAAATATTTTACTTTGCTTACCACTTCGAGGACCTGATTTGTTAAGTTAAAAGTATCGCCAGAATTTCACCAATACACATCCCTAATATATATATATATATATATATATATATATATATATATATATATATATATATATATATATATATATATATATATATATATATATATATATATATCGCCATGATGCAAATCTCCCATTCCACCACATCCAAAGGTGTTCTATTGGATTGAGATGTGGTGACTGTGGAGGCCATTTGAGTACAGTGAAGTCATTGTCATGTTCAAGAAACCAGTCCAGTGTTACCCCTACGTAGGCTCAGCTCCACTCCTAAAATGTTACCACCGCGGCTATGAAATGAAACCCACCACCACTCCACCCCAACACCCCACGCTCTCACATCCAACGCACGGCACCAAAATATTCCGCGCGTTATTACGCCCTTCCTCGCTCTCATGGCAGCGAAACGGTTCGCAAATGTAAACCCCCCTCCCCACGCACCACAGTTGGAAATACTGCAGTCTGAGATGACTGGAGCTTTGTGTCATGGCGCATTGTCCTGCTGGAAGTAGCCATCAGAAGTTGGGTACACTGTGGTCATAAAGGGATGGACATGGTCAACAACAGTACTAAGGGGCCCAAAGTGTCTTTTGATCGATCTGATGGTTACAGGTCTGATACTGGAGGTGACATGTCATCTCGTGACTAGACCCCTTCAGAGTTATGAGGCTGTTGTGAAGGACTAGTCTTGGTGCTGCTCATGGTGCTTTACCCTGGGGCCACAGAGTTTAAAGCATACTTAAACAGATTTGTGTCATTCAGATCTCATTTGCAGCTGCTTCTGCTGGCTTTGTGTGGATTCAGATGAGGGTCACTGCAGTCGGCTGTGAACATCTGTAGCAAGATTCACATCGAGAGGATGATAAAAAGAAAAATGCACCGCAGAAAATTTGATTAGGACTTTGACCGTGTCCAGTGAGCGAACTTTAATGGCATTTTATTTGCATGCAAACTCTTAAGGAGGTCTGTGAGAGATAACAAACAGCAGAAGTAAACACTCCACAATGCCCCATTTCCTGCTACAGCTTTTGTTTTCTCCCCACCCTTCCAGACCCTCCATGCGTAGCACTGGGTGGAACGTTTCTTTGCCAAGACTTTGACCCCTATAAATCTCTTTGTTTGTCCCAGGTGTCTCAGGCCTCCAAGGCGTGGGGAGAGGTCCCGCTTCCAGAAGATTTGGAATCAGAAAAAGATGTCCGGGCATCTCGGAGTTTACTGGACGATGATGAGGACTTCGCAGCTGACGAAGCTTCAGGAGGTGGGCTAGCTAAGAAGGATTGGTAACCACAAACCACAGTAACAGCTGCCCTTAATTCATGGGAGTCATGCTTCTTATTATGCATTCCTTAGTTTGTAAACCCAACCCAAAAGATGAAAATGAGAAGAGATTGCCTAATCCCAATAAAACATCTCAGAGGAGTGTAGCTCTCCTGTGCATTGGTGCAGCACTTATTAAAAGGGCAAAATGCTTTTTTCCTGGCCTTAAATCTAAATGTTGACCTCATCTTTACTCTTGTGTCTCGTCCTCCAAAGACCTGCCGAGTGGGGAGGAAGATGGCAGCACTCCAGATCCCGACAGCACAAGTGAGAGAGCAGAAAATCTACAGCATCTAACCGTCGTCTGTGACAGAATTTCTTTACGTGTGGTAGATCGCTCAGCCCGCCAAAGCTCTACCATCTGTAATTCAGACATATTCACGCAGCGTGTGTCAGACTTACACACACACACACACACACACACACACACACACACACACACACACACACACACACACACACACACACTGGAGTTTTGAGCGATGACCTTCTCATCCTGCTGAAGCCTCTCCTCCCTCGATGCCAATTTGCCAGAGTCTGGTCATAACACGGGGCTCAGGCGCTGAGACATAACCCCCCCCCCCCCCCCCTTTAATCTTTTCAACCACTGGCCGAGGTGACAGCAAAGTAAGACACATAAAAGCCTGAAGAACAATAAAAGTGGCTTCAGAGCCTCTCTGCTAGCCAGTTCAATGCTGTGATTCCTGACCCCCACCATGCTTGGCATAAACACATTTGTCTGTAAGTACAGATCACACACAGTGGCACAAGGAACACGGTTTAGTCATTTAAAGTAAGCTTATCACCCACGCTTCACTGCTGCATGGTATTTATTGGTTTGAGGCGTTTTCTGCACTTCTCTAACTGATTGTTGTCGATTATCATTTTTCTAATTAGTTATTCTTTGCATGCTTGATTTTATTATATTTTTGTATTTAGAGGTCAGCGTCAAATGTCACCTACTGATGAAACTTTCACATAATATGACAACACATTCGACCTCTTGGTTATGCTGTTTGTGCTTGAATATTTCAGACCTCAAACAAAATTTAACATCAGATAAAGATGACTTGAGTAAATACATGATGCACTTTTCAAATGATAATTTAGTTTATTAAAGGTCTCATTCACTTGTTTTTTCAATAGTCTGTGGTATGAATGAATGTCTTGTGAATCATTTCGTGTGGGGGAAAAAGCTCTGGCAGTCCTGTTTCAGGGGTAAAATTAGGAATGGGTAGGCAGAAAGCAACAGGATTAAGAGTCTTACTCATTTATATTCAAACGTTAAGACCATTTTCACGTTCAGTTCGCATATGCAACTGAGAGTGGCTGATCGCATTTAAAAAAGAACAATTAAAGCCCTACTATGCAACTTTTTTCATATTTTTACATCATTTTATTGAGCCAGTATGTGCTAAAATGACCCTTACAAGTTTAAAGAAATGTCACTCAGACCCCTGCACCCCAGAATGTCGCACTTGCAACTTCAGACTGGCGGGCCACCATCTGTTGGATTTACCCCCAAATTCCACTACCTCCGGTCCGCTCCGCCCCCGCCTTCCACAGCCGCTCGCTTCCGAACTCAATTTTTACTGGTACCCGCTCTACAACGGCTCCGCTCCGGTGCGGAGACCTGAGGTGCGCAAACAGGCATGCGCGGGATTTTCGAGATCTTGCGATACAGTCCGAGCAATAAACGCGGAAGTTAGATCCAAACACCCGTTGTGTGGGAGAAGCATCGAAATGAACTGTTTAATCTGCCCATCATTTGTGTTGAGAGATCAGCAGTGTTTGGATCTACAAAGGGTGACTATTTTGATAGTAGAAACTGTATTTATGGCTTATTTTTGTGCATTTAAAGTTCAGCCGCCATTGATAGTTGTTAAAAGTTGTTAAACCTGTGCATATGAAACAAAAAACGCCTTTTGTTTATCGATTTATTGTGAAATAACGGAAGTTATGCTTGCTCCATTTCCCGTTGGGCGGTTGTGATTTCTGTCCATTGACTGCGGAGGTGTTCCGGCGTCCGGCAAAAGTAGAATCGATCCTATTTTTGCCAGATGGCGGAACAGCGGGCGGCGCACGGCCGCAGTAGTGGAACAGCTCTGACTGACTACAACGGGACCGATTTTGCTGCGGAATTCGTGCCGGAGCAGGGCGGAGCGGAGCAGAGGTAGTGGAATTTTGGACTTAGAAAAATGGAGTTGACCTACCTGCTGCTGCGGTCTGGTTCCGGCACGCTTCCTGCATGTTTTAGATCAACACAGCTGATTTGTTTAATTTAGTGATGAATCACTTCTGTAGAAACCCATGAAGGCTGGGGAGACATTCCAGCTGTTAGATTAAGGTGTCAAAAAGACGAACACACATCGAGGACATAAGTTTCATCTTCCTCTGTGAACGGCACCTTTAGGAGAAAACGCTATCTGAATCTACCTAGCTCTTTGTGAAGCAATAATTATCCTCTGAACCTTAAATCAGATTGTAACACTGTGATTACACTTTTGTGAAAGCTGGAAATATGTCGCTCACATCCCTCTGGGAGGATTTTGTCCCACTCTTCTTTACAGAATTGGAGGGTTTTCCAGCATGAACGGCCTGGTTAAGGTCAAAGGTCAGACATTCTTCTCCAGAATGCTCTCCTAAAGAAAATATGTGATGGTTCCATCAAATACATGGCTGTGCAAAGAAAAGAGAACCAAATCTGGTCATTGTTTTGTAAAGGTCCACATGCGCCACACCTGTCATGATGTGGGGTGCCACAGGGAGCATTCATAGGCAACCTCTGGAAGTGGTTGAGGAAACCATAATGGGGAAGTCAGTGACACCCTGATTCCACAGTTCTTACCCTTATGGACCATGCACACCTAGCAAAAGCTGTGGGCCAACGTGTGCTGGAAGAACATCCAGGTGTTTTAGAGTTCCGATTCGCTTGTCTCAAGACCTGGGGGAGTGTCACATTCTCATTTGCTTGGATTTCAAAATAATTTCACTGTAGTCACATGACCTTTCAAAAGGCTCTGTTTTATCTCCACCCCTCTGCCGGACATTTTTTTTCTGTTAATGTTGATGGTACGTCCCCGACAGGAGATGTTAAAATGCGAAGGAGGGGGTAACATAAGAAATACGACGGTGGAGTTAAAATGGTTTTAATTGTTGTAAAAGGTTCTAAAACGAGCAAACAGATGGCGAGCATTATAAAGATAATGCAAAACAAACAAACTCTCAAAAAGGTTAACATTACACCAATTACCAACTATAAAAACACCTGGTTAAAACTTATATTAAAAGCTTTATCGAACAGAAGGGTTTTTTTTAAATCCCGACGTTGATAAAAGTCTGAAACAATCTACTGGCTTAAAACACCTGGTAAAAACTTATTGTAAAAGTTTTTCCCAACACAGAAGGTGTTTAAAACCAGAGTCAATAAAATTGCAGCAAACCAAGTTTTAACAAACGAAGATCCATTTGGATCACTCAGAGTTAACAAAACAAAGGGGTTTAAAACCAAAACGAGGCGGACAGCAGAACCCCTGCACTGCTGCCTCTCAGACGGGCACAGCCTTTTTATCCAGGTGTTGGTCATCAACAGAATTCAGATCAGCTGTGCTCCTCAGCAGCCTGGAAGAGAGGAGGAGGAAGGGCGGTGTCAGGCTGATCACCGGGGCTGGGTGATCCTGGCTCCTGAATCTCACTGGCCAGGCTGGTAGCCGTAACACCCCCACACATGAATGAAAGAAAAAGGATAAAAGTTAGTAAAACACACAAAACCAACTTTTAAAACTTTTTCTTTAAAAGCAAGGATCACATTAAAAGAGAGAGCCCCCGATAAAAACAAAAACAGGCTATCTGAATCCCTAGTCTTCATGTTCGTCACAGGCGGGCAGATTAAGCACATGTGCATACGCACATCCAAACCAGCAAGGGGGGGGGTGGGGGGTGGTTAGCCCCTGCTCTTCCTGGGGTGCTCCCGAGAAGGTGAAAAGACCACCAACACTAGCCCGCTAAGCGCAACACTATAAAAGAAAACAAACAGGCCTCTCCCTAAAGAGGGAGAGCCTCTGAGCCTGCCTGCGGGGGTCATCTCTGGATCCAACGTCTTTACCGTCTGATTTATTTTTGTTTAACAAATCAAAGGAAGCCAACTCCGGGTCGGGAGAGAGGTCCTACCTCAAGTGGAGGAGTTTAAGTATCTCGGGGTCTTGTTCACGAGTGAGGGTAGGAGGGATCGGGAGATCGACAGGCGGATTGGTTCGGCGTCTGCAGTGATGCGGACGCTGAGCCGATCTGTCGTGGGGAAGAGGGAGCTGAGCCAGAAAGCCAGGCTCTCGATTTACCGGTCGATCTACGTCCCGATCCTCACCTATGGTCATGAGCTTTGGGTAATGACCGAAAGAACGAGATCGCGGATACAAGCGGCCGAAATGAGTTTCCTCCGTAGGGTGGCCGGGCTCAGCCTTAGAGATAGGGTGAGGAGCTCGGACATTCAGGAGGGACTCGGAGTAGAACCGCTGCTCCTCCGGATCGAAAGGAGTCAGTTGAGGTGGTTTGGGCATCTGGTCAGGATGCCTCCTGGACGCCTCCCTGGGGAGGTGTTTCGGGCATGTCCTGCCGGCAGGAGGCCCCCGGGTCGACCCAGGACACGTTGGAGAGGTTACATCTCCAATCTGGTCCAGGAACGCCTTGGGGTCCTGCTGGAGGAACTGGTGGAGGTGGCCGGGGAGAGGATGGTCTGGAGCTCCCTAGTTGGGATGCTGCCCCCGCGACCCGGACCCAGATAAGCGGAGGAAGATGACAACGAAATCAAAGGAAGTCCTTGCGCCTAGATCTTTAATATTCTAGTTTTAAATGATCTCCAGCAGAATAAAGGTTTGTTGCCTGCGAGGTTTCCTTTCAGAATTCAGACACCTGGACATACCTGCTGCTCCTTGGGTGGTGCTTCAAGCTAGAGCAGGGATGTCCAATCCTGGTCCTGGAGGGCCGGTAACCAGCAGGTTTTGTGATTTTTCTGCTTCAACACGCTTGATTAGCTGGTTGATTCACCCGTGCAGCAGCTCATCAGGCTCTGCAGAAGCCTGTTAATCACCTGCTGCTTGAAATCAGGTGTGCTGAAGCAGGTTAAAACGAAAACGTGCTGGATACCGGCCCTCGAGGACCAGGATTGGTCACCCCTGAGCTAGAGGGTCTGATTACATCAGAGCACAGTTATTGTTTTGGTGGCAGCAGTGAGCGCTGACATCAGAGCAGAGGCACATGGCATCATGTGG